CGAGCCCCGCGTCGGGCTCCCTGCTCAGCGGGGAGTCTGCTTCTCCCTCTCCCTCTCCCCCTCCCCCCTGCTTGTGTTCTCTCTCAAATAAAAAAAAATTCTTTAAAAAAAATAAAAATAGTTAAAAATAAAGCTAGAGTAAATGAACCTTTTTAATTTAGTAAGAAAAAAAACGACTCAAATATGCAACAGACCCTCAATTCAGAGAAGTGTTTATACAGATGACTTTTTACTAGTGTAGCTTCCATGTCAATATTTTCCTAGCTGGAGGTTATGATTTTTTTTCTTGGGTAAGTAACAGGAAGAAGGATTCATGGTGAGTAGAGGGTCTCAGAAGGGTACAAGATGCGATCACAGACATGAGAGGTGCAGAATATTCCTTTAGGCTATGAAAGACATCCTCCGCACATCTATCACACTTCTCCCCCTCCCACACACACACACACCCTTTATCGACAGGCTAGAATCCTACTTCATCTTTCTGTGCTGAGTCCATCATCCTCCTCACATCCATCTTGGACCCTTCACCACCACTTTCCTCTACTTGGTCTCTTTGTTCTTCTGATCTGAACAAACCTGTCATTTCCCCTCACCTTTACAAGATGAAAATGATTCCTCGCTTTAAAATAGAGACATAGTGTGGAGATGTTGTCTATAAAGCCCAATGTAGTTTTTTAAATGAAATAGTTTTTCACAAGTTAAGAATATTTTCAAAACACTCTCTTGATAGTTGAAATACAGAACTTGGCAATGGCTTACAGAAGTTGAAGCCCAATCATTTGCTATAGAAAAGAAAAGGACACAAATGTGTATGTATGCATAGAAAAAGGTCTAGGGGCCCCTGGGGGACTCAGCTGGTTAAGTGTCCAACTCCTGATTTTGGCTCAGGTCCTGATATCAGGGTTGTGAGACGGAGCCCTGCTTTGGGTGCTGGTGTGGAGCCTGCTTTGGATTCTCTCTCTCTCTCTGCCCCTCACCATGGACCACCCCAAAAAAGAAAAAAGTCTAAGTGTATGCAACATAACATTAACAGTAATTTCGTCTGAACTACTGGGGGAGGGGGGAATTTCCTTCCCTGTATAGTTGTATTTTCTAGGTATTCTATAATTTATATGCATTACTTAAATAATTTGAAAAGTTACATATATTAATTGAATACATGCCCAAAGGGAAAGGTGAACAGCCAAGGAGAGTTGAAACAAGTAGCGTGGAAATGAGAATTGAGGGCAAAGAAATTAAGTCCACTCCAGGTGCGAGGAACAGGAGACACAACTCAAAATCAGTCTCCATCCCCACCCTGCCAACCCAGGAGTCCCTTGTTTGTCTTGGCAGTATGGCTAACAGATCCAAGTGGAATCCAAGGGAAGACAAAGAACCACTTTCCTGGCATAAAGGTAACCATTTTTAAAAGGAGAAATTAACAAAATTTGCTGGGGGTGGAGCTGGAGGATTTCACTCAGGAAAATTCTGATATTCACAGAACTATTTCTCTCCACCTTTGCTCTGCATCCCAAGCTCCAGGAGCCACTTAAAAGCAGGCTATCTATTTTCAAGAAGTAAATCTTTTGGATGAATACCTTATGTTTATGAGCTGGAATGGGAAGGTGCTGGGCTGTGTATCGGAACTCCCAGCCCGAGAAGACAGTTATCTCTTTTGGCACCGGTTCTCAGGGATGAGACCATGTCTAGCAGGGATTTTCTCCAGATTCGACAGCCTTGGCCCTACCAAAACGCATGGCTTTGTTTTCACCATACATCAGTCATCGTGAGTCTTTCGTTTTTCCTTTCAACCATCCACAGGTCAAATACTGTGTGTTCCCAACAGTCTGTGAACTTCTTGGACCAGCAAAGGGACATTCATTCTGCTCAGCACTCCTTTAACATTTCTATTGTGTTCGATTTCCCACTCCCCCTGCCCAACTCCCCAGAGAATAACTTCTTCCTTGTTTTAATAACTTGGACCACAGTCAAGGTTGATGTGTTACTCCATTTTGCAGGATATTTTCTTCAGAAGAGACAAAACAGAGACTAACGGAGTAGCTGCGGCTTGTGAGCAGCTTTAGTAAATCAGTGGCCGTTAAGAACACACGGGAAAGGCTTTTAAAGAAGTAAAAATCAGGCAACGAATGCAAAAGCACCATAAACAGAATTACTCATAAAGGTAGACTAATGCTTAGAAGGAATCCCTGGCAATTTTCTCTCCCAGTGACCCACTTAAAAAATCTAGTTTCATTTGTGAGTGATGAAAAGAGTCAGAGTTAAGAAAGTGGGTTCATAAAGTACCTTCTCTGAATTAAACTGAAATATAATACTCTCCCATTTGAGGTCATAAAAGTAGTTCTGATCCCAATGGGCACACAGAGATCAGAAAATGAATAGAGGAGGAGAGAGGAGTAAATCAGGGACTAAAGTATCTCCTCCTCCCCATTATGTCATGTTTTCATCTCATCTTGCCCATGCTCTCCCTAAAAATCCCATCCCCGCTCATTGTAATAACACCGCTCTCTGACATCTAATGAAAGATGTCTCCAAGGAGTTGCTTAGGACACAAAGAAAAAACCTGATCCTTTTTTAAGTAAAATATTCGAGGAAAAAAGACATGAACAAATATTTAATGGGGGTTTATCTGAAGTTCATGATCTTTTTAATAAAAAAAAGTGGGATAATGTCTCATTTTTATGAATGATATGGAAATTATCTTTTTTCTCCAAAACATGAGGCAAACCTCCGGTTTTTCTGTTCTATATCTACTGGGTCACCATGATTTTTCTTACCATTGACTTCAAAGTGTCAAGACACTAGCTATGGATTTAAGTTAAAAAAAAAAAAAGCTATCTTTCTTCATGGAATATTTTTACTCAAATATATTTTCCATATTAACAGCGTTTTCATACCATGACAAAAGGAAGTGAATATGGCATCAGAGAGAAGGATGACGCCTACCCAGATTGTGTCTTCCCTGGAGAAAAGCCCAATTTTCTACTGGAGTAACAAATTCAACTGAATTCAGTTCTCGGAAGTTCAGGAGCTTGGAGGAAAGAGCTAGGATTAGCCATTTTTAAGAGCCATAAGAGAGGCAGACTGTGGGTCATGACTCATCAGTGTGTTGTAATGTCAATCTCCACATCACAACAAGCATTTTATAGTTCACACTGGCTCAGTGAAGAGCCTGCTTCTCCCTCTCCCTCTGCTGCTCCCCCTGCTTATACACTCACGTGCTCTCTCTGTCAAATGAATAAATAAAATCTTTAAAAATAAATAAATTAAAAATAAAGTTCACATTGCTATGTGAACTTGGATTAGGTGGCTTAGTCTCTCCACCCTCCTCATCTGAAAGGTGGACATACCCTAGTATCCTAGGATTGTCATGAGGTCAAAGGAGAAAACATACATAAAGCCCCTTACACGGGGCCCAATAATGTTAGCATCCACCCTTAGATAAATTGTCAAATCATAAATGGAAGCAGACATTAGTTGACTTACAATACATTCTAAAGGGATAAATCTGCAGCGTGAGAGAAGATGTTAGTAAATTATACAATCGCAACCTCGTTCTCCAAAGAGTTGCTCTTCTGTAGGACTACCTACTGGAGACATTTTATCCTTTTCATTCAGCTTTCTGAATAAAAATAGCATTCAAGAAATACAGTTTGGTTTCAGAAATCCTTTACCAAAATGTAAGCATCAGACTAATAAAAACTCTTCTAGTTTCTTTCTTCCTTAAAGTGGATTGAACAAAACAAACTATTCACATTTTGTGCTTTATCTTCACAATATAACTTCTGATTTCTCAGCAAGTGACTAATATCATGTGTCTGAAGACCTTAAAAGGTATCAAAATTATCTCAAACTATGGAAAGACCCAGAATCAAACACATGCCAAGATGCCCTATCTGTAATTTTTGTAATTAAGCAAACAAACCTTGTACTCCAGCATGAAGAAATTTTAAAAATTGAAACATACTACTCACTTCACAATCAAGTTATATCTGCTCTTGGCATTTAATGTGGAGACAGTTTCTGAACTCTGAGAAGAAGAGAGAAGAAAAGGAAGGGATCCAGAAAGAAAGGGTAAAAGCAAGAAGCCAAGAAACATCGGACAAGTTGAGAGTAGGTAGAAAGACAAAAAGCTGAAATTGTCAGCAGTCCTTTGGACACAAGTGTGGAGAGAAAAAATTCAAATCAATAGGCTTTTTGGGGGTCTAAAGAGAGGAAGTTGAGATTTGGATAAAATAGCAGAAAAAATGGGGGCTGGGGGTGGAAAGAAGGATCTAACAAAGTCCTGGAAGATTGAAAAACAACTCTGCTGATCACTGAAGGATGATACAAAAGCCAGGACTGAGCCAACAAAAGAAAGAAGGATGAAAAGAAGGAGACCAATTCTGGTGTTCATGCAGAAAAAATAAAGTCAAAAGAAACAGCTACAGAAGTGTCCCAGGGTGCAGCCTATAGGGCTGGGAAAGGCACAGATGTTTGAGAACAAAAACAACAACAAAAAAAAGTTTTTGTAAGAATTCTGTCTACAGACTTGAGGTAAAAATTAAGTTCTCCCTGAGAGATTTAAAAGCAAATAGAGAAAAAGCAAGTTATATATGCCTGAAAGATTTGACTCATCTAACAGGAAGATGTATAATACCACAAATTTAGTGTTTGGTAAAACATTCCAGAGGAAATGAGCAGGACTCCTGGTGCATCGTTGTAAAAGCTGTTTTCTAGGAGTATGTTGATGAGAAATGTCACCACCTCCATTTTTGCCCACAATATGTCTACAACAAATAAGAGGCAGAGAGGGAGAGAGGGAGAGAGGGAGAGAGGGAGAGAGGGAGAGAGGGAGAGAGAGAGAGAGAGAGAGAGAGAGAGAGAGGGAGGGAGAGATCCTTCCCATCCCATTGCACCAACTGCTACCCTGATTACCCACTGTCAATGCTAACTCCTGCATCGCCCCAGGCGTCAAAAAGGCCTACATCATTGGCTTTGCCATCATCGTATTGTCCACTCACTTGCTCTGCCCTTCTGTCCATTTCACTGAGCTGGAGCTCCCAGCAGCAACTCTAGAAGAGAAGAAGAGGTGGGGAATGGGGAATGGGGAATGGAGCATGCGTGGCTCTCGCAAGCTCCCAGATCCCAGAATCCAATGAGAAGCCACTAATACACAGAGATGTGAAGCTAGTTGTCTCGTCCAGAGTGTTGGACTTAAGTCTCCAGTGCCATTGGGTGGAAGGCACCATAGGGAGGCTGGAAAGAGCCTCTGCTTTGGAATTAGATCCAGGCTTGGAATCCCACCTCTACCACTTAATACGATGTGAACTTGGGAAGTTACTTAACTTTCTGAGCTTGATTTGCTTATTTGGAAAACAGGGTAACCATACCTAAGCCTTACAGTGTTGTTAGGAAGAGTGAGGGGACTGAGAAAAGCACCTGCTACATTACGGGGATGTCACTGGAGTCATATCCTAATGCCCACTGACTCAGACTTGAGAAAGCGAACAGTGAGTTCTTGTACTGTTGAAAGCAAGTCCCACCTGTTTGCCTTTTAAAATTTCCAGGCGCAAAGAATCTCCACTGCCTATGTTGTGTGTTCTCCCCATTGTGACTGTCTACAGAGCATGAAGAAAACCCGTTGGTACCATCAGGTCTGAGCACATCTGACTCAAAAGTGTCCCAATCATCAGCACTCAAATACAAATTTGGATCCCGGGCATTATAAACTGAAAGTATTTCTCGACAAGATAATGTAATAGTTAACATCTGTGATATCAGTAGCAAAACGAACATTAAATGAGGTTGAACTAACACAATTTTGAAGAACTCTAAAACACTCAATAAGTAAAGGCCAGATTACTTGTTCTCAATAGTCTCAACTCCCTTGTTCCGGACACACACAAAAATCCCCTATTTATATTCCTGAAAATTTAATACTCAACGCAACCCACCAACTGGGGGAGGGAGGAAAGCAGCTTAATTCTACAGAGAGCCATGACTATTTTTCTAAAACTGCATTCTCTTCGTGAGTTATAAGCACCTTTAAAATGGTTCAAACAGGTGTATGTTTTTGTTGAAGGGCAATGGAACAGAGAAAACCTTACCCCTTTAAAGTGGCTCCTAAGTTCATCTGATTCCAGGTCATGCATTCAAGCTGGGAGGTCATTTGGTATAAATTGTCACTGTTAGAAAAACATCCAGAATTAGAAACACGTAACTACAAAGAAACATACCATCATTTCTTCAAAAAGCAATGGCGTTTTACCTTTTCTTTGCAGCGAAAGCCTCCGTGTTTTCTAAAATGACAGAATATTGAGTCTGAAATGATTTTAATTTCATCCCACTGATTCCTGCACAGTTAGTTATTCACTTCACACAGAGCAGGAAGGATGTGAGAGTAATCTGGAAGCCTTTAAAAAACCTTAGTATAGCAAACACTGAAGTTTCTGAAAAGGTATTAAACCTTTCAGGGGAAGAGGCTGAAGGGAGTGGAACCCTTGAAAGGCAACACAGGTTGGGTAACTCAACATTAAAGTTAGAAGCCTGGAGCTGAGAGTAGAAAGATGGCAGATTAATTATTCGTGAAAAGGCCATTAAGTTGTTTTAATCAAAAGGACATGTATCATGTAGATTATGAGGGTCTGAAAAGTCAAAGAGTGATGGGTGGTGGATGGTCTAATACTCAAAGATGTGACAAGCAAAAGAAAGTGGCTGGTAAAGTCTATGCACAACTGAAGGAATTCCTCTTTAGAAATTGTATAATCCTGGAACAAGTTGAATGGAGTTTAAAAAAAAAAAAAAAAAAAAAGCCCCAGCCCCAGTTCTATCAAGCTCTAAGAAGGAAAAATAATGGATGATCATTTACATTAAGACCCCAAAGGAGAAAGTACACTACATGTAAACCAACCAAAAGTTGTTCTCTCCTCTCCTCATATTTATCTCATTCCTAGAAAAGCAGCACATAAATCAATTAGCAGAAAACTCCTTAATTACCAAGCTCTATGGGGAAGACATTCAGTCCTGAACTGAAATGGTTAATTATGAAATTTGAGACCCAAGAGATGAATGGGCTGTCTTCAAACCCTTGGTCTAAACACATGACAGAGGAATACCTTTCCTCTGCCTTCATGGAAGCAGAGAGAGTATCTTTCAGTGTCTAACGTGTGGTATCAGACCCGAAACCTAGAAATCTCCATCTTGTGGTGGCATGCCTTCAGATTGCTTCCTCGGGCAGAGGCAACACCCAATTTTAATTAAGAGAAGGTTTTGTCAGGCCAGCCAAACTGGGAACTTGTGGAAAGGTCAAGGAAATCACGGCAACTCGGGATAAATGGATGCTGTTCTCCCTCTAGGCATAGCTTGATAAATCATGGCAGAGTGCCTCTGCCATTCGTATAATCACTCTGAAAATGATTTGGAACTCCTTCGTGGCGGGCACACAGGATAAGGAGAAAATCAGATTCCAGGAGGGAATTTTACGTATGAAATGTGAAGTGACTTCAAGCTCGAAGTATGGTGTCCTTTCATTAGTCAGTGTATATCTGGACCCCATCATTCATCCTCAGATCTGACTGGCTATTATGCTACTACAATATCCTACATATCAATGAAAAAAAATGATTAGTTTCTCCTGCAGCTTCTCTATTTGCACTAGCGGCCCGTGCTGGTCTGTGCCACTACGTTTCGCAATTCCAGAAATTCTTGCTGTAAGGCCGATGTAATTAATTTCTGAAGGACCCCCAATTTTTATTAGAAGTGCCAGCCCTGCTGCATTTAACACAGAAGAGTTTCTTGAACTTTCTTTGGGCTGACAGCTCATTAATAAGCAGCCTCCTCCACAATCTCTACTGGTTTTTGTTCTCTCGCGCCTTTTCATCAAGCAATCCATTTATTAATCTTGCCATTAATCTCAGCCAACAGGCATTGTATTCCCCAGGCAGCTCTGTATTTTTGTCACTGATTTTTAAAAAATTGTTCACCAACTAAAATCACTCAGCTCCGGTTGACAATTTTCCTAGGCCCTATTGAGATGTGGGACCTTTCTGAAATGATTTCATCCTTGCATAAGACTAAGATCATAATTTTCACCAGGTCGATGAGAAGCAAGATGAGGGACAGAAGTTTGTGCACATGGGTTAGTGAGTGCCAAATATCTAACTTTTATGATTCAGGAATTTTCTCACAGACTTAAAAGAATAGTCCAGTGGATTCCTAAGGGTCTCTATAAGGAAGTACCCCAAAGAAAAAATATTTTTAAGGCCATTTTCTCAGCCCCCAGGAAGCAAACTTTCTCAAATATACTGTCTATGTCTTACATACGTGTGTCTTCCTAGTGTGTGCTTAACAAATATTCTATACTGCACAGTATGAGAGCTACTGCTCAGACACAGTTATTGAGCACTTGAAATATGGCTAGTGCCATACACTGAAATAAGATTTTGACTATTTTTTAAAAGATTTTATGTATTTAATTGACAGAAAGAGAGAGGACGAGCTGGCGGAGGGGCAGAGAAGCAGACTCCCCTCTGAGCACAGAGATGAACATGGGGTTTGATGCCAGGACCCTGAGATCATGACCTGAGCCAAAGTCAGATGCTTAACCGACTGAGCCACCTAGGCACCCCAAAATTTTGACTATTTAAAAATAGAATATTTTAAAAATTAATTTCAGTCTTATTTTTTTTAATGCAGCTACTAACAAATTCCGAACTATATATATATAGGCTTGCATTGGTTTTATTGGACAGTACTGCTCTGTAAGTTTTAGGACCTTGAGCCAATCAGTTCAGTTCTCTGTACCTCAGTTTTCTCATCTGCCAAATGGAAATCCTTTTTTTTTTATTAAAGATTTTATTTATTTATTTGACAGAGAGAAACACAGCGAGAGAGGGAACACAAGCAGGGGGAGAGGGAAAGAGAGAAGCAGGCTTCCCACTGAGCAGGGAGCCCGATGCGGGGCTCGATCCCAGGACCCTGAGATCATGACCTGAGCCGAAGGCAGATGCTTAACGACTGAGCCACCCAGGCGCCCCTGCCAAATGGAAATCTTAATCTCAATTGGTCTAACTTTACAGGGATGTTGTAAAAGCCCTAAAAGTAGCTCTTTGATAATATAATATCAGATAATACATTTTAGATATATATCAGATAATACATTTTAATTTTTTCTAATCAAATTTTGCACGGTACTTTTCACGCATCCTCAATATGCCCCACAACTTTGCGAGGCAGGTATAGTAATGATCCCCACTTATCAGAGGATGACTGGGGCTCAAAGAAGTGCGTGGTGCCGGCTTGCCTGATGCCCCCACCCCACCTGCCCCACCCCTCTGAAGACATCCTGGCATCATTTGGCCTCCCAGCTCATCCTCTACCACTTAAAGAACAGTAGTCATAACGTAACAATAATACAGACAAGGCTGGAGGTGAAAGAGAACACGCTCCAGGAAGCAAGGTGACCTTCTCTGTCTCCAGAAATTCTAAGATGCAAGATGCCTGACACATCCTTTTCAGCTAAGAATAGTATGCCAAGATCGCAGGAGGAGCTCCACTTCTTGTTCTAGGGTCCTGATAGCTCAGCTTGCAAATTCTCGTGAGGGGAGAGAAGATGGGAAGGGTGATAGCGGAGACGGACTTTTGGAAAATCTCCAAGCTACGAATAGGTTTCCTGAGTCCCGTGATAGGATCGGCGCACCATTTTAACCACATCCTGCCTTCTGCTGGCTGGGGTTCTTCGGGGGCCCGGTCAGTCAGCTTGCTGGCACAACCTCTTCACTGGAAGTCAGTGACAGCATGACAGCAACTGCTGTCGGGGAGGAGACAGAATGTGAACCCGAGCTAAAAATACTGGGCCCGAGCATGCTCCAGCTCTGATCGCTCTGGGCAATCGGTCAACACCCAGCTTTCATCACAAAAACCCACAAAAAGAGGCAGCACTGGTCCAGGAATATATGGCCTCTGACAAATAAAGCATCTAATTATTAAGTAAGCACTGTAGGTGTCGACCATTTCATTCCCAGAGGAGATCAGATAAGCAGGTGGTTTGGCTCAAAGCAAACCACAGTGGTCACGTAGGCATTTCAGCTCCCCGTCTAACTCCGTCTGTTCGGAAGTGAACTCTGAAATCGCAGGCTGCCAAAATATATTCCAAAAGTCATGGTATCCTTTCTATTTTTTAAGTTAGATTTTTTTTTTAAGGCCCCTTGTTTCCTATGTAAGAAATGTTTGAAGTTGGAAGCAAGGGAGAGAGGAAAGAAACTTCTATAACTGGGATTAATGCAAGTTGGAGTAAAATAAAAGGAAGTCAGTCCTAGCAAAAAGAGGAACTTAAAAGGAAATCGGTAGTAGATCATATAGAGTTTGTTTTGGCCTGCACTGCAGTATTACTGAGTTCTTGACCTCCACACAAAAATAAAGGAGGGGGGAAAAAAGCCCTCAGCTATTATCTGGGCTGGGACTCCCCCACTCTTCAAATGCATGTGTAATTCAAGTACATTTTCATCTTTGAGTGTGTTTACTATATTCAGCAGAACAGGGTAGAAAAGTTCATGTCATCACCGGCACAGAGCTGTTGAATCTGGTTGAGGTTGGGGTTACCTCTGCCAGATAGTGGTTGGCTGGCAAAGAAGCACTTTGGTGGACGTCAAGAGTTTCCCCCATGAGATCGAAGGAAAAAAAAAGAAAGAATGAGAAAAGAAAATGCCGACCAAGAAAAATGCAGATATAGCTGGCACCTGTGATCAGAATTCATGATGGCCAACTTTTGCTTCAACAGCTCTGCCCCACACCAACAGAGAGGCCTCTGTGGGTTCCCCCCCCACCTGATAACCAGGGCTCAGGCACCGAGGCTGCAGCCAGACCTTTTCCTGCGTTCTTCCCTCCAAGGCGCCATGGAGGCTGCCTGTTGAGAAATTTCTGCCCAGCAGGCCATGGTGAATAATTATTTTACAGTCAATCTCTTGGTATTGTTATTTCTCTCAAGCTCACCAGTTAACCAAAGAAAACCCCACTGGGGATTCAACTTCTATTAATAAACACTTGGTCAGCACAAAAGTTGCAGGAATATTTGAAACTAGATTTTTCCCCCTCCCTGGAGACAAGTCCATTTCAAGCCTTTGGTTGTGATAACACTGTCCACCCCTGGAAACCACTTCAGAGTTTCTGCCTTCATGCCTCCCGATGTGGGAAACAAATACCAGTATTGTCTTAAGGGAAACTTTACACCATGTAAAGTGTACGTAGATACACAAGTGGAAAAAGGCATTCTCAATTGTCATTTTATTTCCTTGGGCATGAGCTGTTCCTCTGATTCATGTCTAAGTGGAAGGCCAACCTCAATGGTAGATAATGTACTTCCCACTGACCTGGATTCCCCAGAAACTCTAGGGCTGCTACGGAAGTCTCTCTCATATGAAAAACCTCCACTGTCAACCAAAAAGCCTCCACTGTCAACTGCATCATTTGTGAATCATCAACATTCAATTAAGAATATTTGAATCAGCAGTTACTGCTTCCCAAGGTGGAGCAGTTTTACCTACTAGGGGGCAAAAGGAAATAGGCTCATTTAAATTGGTAGCACATTTGCTAAAGAAGGATGCACAAACCTAATAAAAGAGCCTAAGAAGAAAAGGAAAGGACTACAATATCTAAAAAATAAATAAATAAAAATAACGTGTGGGGAATATTTTTTAAACACAGGGCACAGAACTCCTTTTCAAAGTAGCTGTGAATATCAACGCATGAACTGGGCAGAGTCAGGGATGGGGGGCTCCGAGGAGGTCCGCAAGAAGAGAAGGCAGAGGGCTTTGTGAAAGAAGATTCAAAGGAAGTGAGCAGGGAAGACACCGCTAGCTGCCTGTTCTAGGTAGAAATCAGGACAAATCTGTGCCTAGTGAGAGTGGATTTACTACTCTCTCCCCTCAGGAGAGCGGGAGGTCCAACCTCCCTGGAACCTTGCCTCTGAGCACAATCACGGTGGCCCCAGAAGGAGTCGTTCTTCCTGGGTCTGGATGGATGGGGAGAAAAGTCTTCAGGTGTCTGGACTGAACTCTACCCCCAGTAGTTCACACCCAATGGTTAAGGCAAAGCTAGAGGAGTCTGAAGTCTGAAGGACAGACAGCTGCTCTGTGAGTGAGGGCTTCAGGAGAAAGCTCAAGTTGCTTCTGACAATACTCACCAGGAAGAATACTGCCCCCAATCCATTAAGGGCTTTCTTGAAAGTTTTGGATAAAACTAATGGATAATGGGATTTCTTTCATAACTGGGAAATAAAGACCTTTCTCTAGTGAGACCCCAGACAGACATCACCTCTGGAAAGAAAATGGCATTTCTTTATCAGGAGAGGGGGCAGGATGAAGTGGGTAAGAGGGATTCTGAAACCTCACGACCTGAACTCAAACGCCAGCTCTGTCCCTTCCTGGGTCATTCTGGGCAAGGTCACCTCCCAGGGCCTCCTCTGTAAAATGGCGATGATAATCTATTGCCTGCCTCCAAGAGTCATGTGGATTAAAGAAGTCAATACTTGTAAAGTGCCTAGAATGGTGTGCGGATGAAGTAAGTCTATATAAGCATTTGCTCTGCATATTTATCAGCAACAGTACGGGTACAGACTGTATAAGGGGAACATTCCAGGTGGCGGGGTGCTGAGGGGCCTGGAATCCCTTCATGATTCAGAGCACAGATGGGTTTTGAAGTCAGAGAGACTGAGGATCAAGTCCTGGTCTTGATTCTGACTTGCTGTGTGACTTAAGCAAGTTATTTCGAGTCTCTGAAACTATTTCCTCTTCAGTAGAGTGGAGATTGGAGTACCTACTTCACAAAGTAATCTCTGAAGAATTAAACGAATGAACTGAGTGAAGTACTTAGCACCGTGTCCAGCACGTAGTCAGCATGCAATAAATCCTCATTGTTACTCATGTTTCACCCAGCTATGATCACTGGGTCCCCTAGGAGCTGAAATCTGGTTTCTGAAACCTCAGTGACCTTTAGACAGAACTCTATCCACCTTCAAAATGGAGGATGGCAGAGAGGATGGGGAAAACCATCTCCTATCACTTCCTATAAGTTGATTGGGGACATTTTCTATTCACTATTGTTCATATCTACACACAAATGTGCACAGCTGTAACTCCTCAGATCTGTTACCTGAGAGAGGAGAGAGAATCACTGGACAGTTCACTCCTAACAAGGAGAGAATTTTGAGAATTTCCTCAAAGCAAATTCACATTGTGCACTGCTTATTTAATATCAGTATATGTACCATTACCTTTATTTCATGCTGGGAAGGAAGACTAAATTCAAGATTGGAGAGACAGAAGCTTTGGAAGGGCAGCGGGGAAGAGGCTGGGCAGGCTGCCCCAGGGGGTCAAGTGCAACAAGGCAAACGAAATAAATACAAGCAAGTCTTTCCCAGGAGGTCCCAATTTTAGACAGAAGGGAATGGAGCCAGGGACCAAAGAAGCACCACTGAATATGTAAAACCCAAATGTTAAGCCATTAAGTGATTAAAATTTAGTCTTGTTTCCTATGTTTTTTCAAACATTGCATTCATAAAAGCATTTCAATACCCTTTCAAACTTTTTTTCATGAATAAGAAAGAAAGAAATGACATACCTGCAATAATGTCAATGCATAGAACCAATTTTAAAACATCCCTACACCTGTTCATTCATCATTACTGCAGGGGAAGTACCTGACCTTTGAAAAGTGATTAGAAATGTTATGAATTGAGGGTGAGTGGAATTTCAAAGACAGTACAAACTTCAAGGGAGCAAACTCTTTTCCTACAGGAGTCACAAATTCTTGCTTAGATGTTATTGCTTAGAAATTTTCTCTAACAGAAGAAAATGCTATTTTTGTGACAAATATAAAAATTGAGAAACAAAAAAAAGTTCCAATTATGTAGAAAGAAGAAAGGGATAAGCAAATATTTCCAAAAGATGAACCTGACAAAATTGCTTTATGTAGTGGACAATCAGAAGCTGGATTAGAAATGTGAGAATTTTACCTATAAAATGCAATCCAAGTGACTTTTCCTACTTCCGTGGCAACCACAAATCCAGCCCTAGGGCAAAATCCACCACAGGGACTCAGTTTCAGAACTGCTCTTAAACCAGTGGCTGTGATCACTTTATCCCCACCCCCTCTTTCTAGGCTGCTCAGCCCCTCTGACGGCCCCTTCCTAGTGTGGCTTGAGGCTTGGGAGAGAGGAGAGTAAGAAATGTGTCTATCTGTGTCCCTTTTGAACTAGACTCCAAAGCCTCCCAGATCCCAACCCCCAAGGAGATATGCCAGCACATCTAAACAGCACCCACTCCAGCATCAAGGTGTTCCTTTCTACCTGGGGTAAGGCTCCAATCAGGACTAAAGAGGGAGGAGTGGGCCAAAGTCATCCCATGGGGAACCATCCCAACTACACCCCCAATGGCTACTCCAATAACAGCAATGGCACTCTGGCAATGGCAGGAAGAGTTCCTCAAGAATGGCAATGGTCCTGCCACCAGTTTTGCTGGGTGGGAGTGGGAGTGTTCACAACAGAGAATGGTTGTGGGTTCTGCACCCATTCCAGTGATGGGACCCACCAAGGGGAAGCCCAGAGACTGTGGGCTTGGGACAGGACACTGGGACTGAGGTGCCAAAGAACAGAACTGGATTCTAGCTAGTGACAAAGAAAAGGAAGATGAGGAGGTGTGGTCATTCTACCTCTCTCTCTCTCTCTGCAACCTTCATGCATTTCTTTGTTCCTTCTCGCTCAAAGAAAGAAAGGAAGGAAGGGGAAGGGGAGAAAGGAAGGGAAGGGAAGGAGAGTGACCTCGAATCCAAGATCCAATTAGATATGCCGGATTTTCCCATCAGAGGGAAAGACTTCCGACCTCCGTGTGCCTCAGGCGTACAGAACTCGAAGGGGCTCGACCCTGTACTTCCCCCGGATAGGGAGAATCAGACCAGTCCCAGGCTCAATTTCATAAGCACACCGAGACTTTGGGATGCGCCGCCGCCCACTGGGGAGCGAAGACTCCTTCCCCTCCTCCACCTGTGGGACTGGAGGTCCCCCAGGCGCGGCCATTGCCCCCACCCAATCTTCCAGGGCAGGCGCTTTTCCTTCCTTCATTACCTCACTACCTCCTTCCCTTGACGTCAGCCCCGGGTCCTCGAGCGGAGGGGGGAGGATGGAGATGAGTTTGGGGGCAGGCGGTATCAGGATCCCCGCAGCACCGGGGTGGAGGTTAGGGGCGGAATATGAGGTAATGCTCGCCCAATCCCCCGCCTCAAAGGCCGAGAGCCGCCACTTCCCTCCCCCCGCCCCACCTTCCAGCCCCGCGCGCGCCGGTGTGTGCACCAGTTACTAGGCAACCCTATCGGAGAAGCGGGATGCCGGCCAAGTTCACCCAAAGTTGAAGAATAAATTTGGGGGAGAGAAGGTTGAGGGTGGAGCGAGAGCCGGGAGAACACACAAGGGACAGGAAAAAAAGCTTGGAAGGAAAAGAAGCTGGTCTTCTGCCTCCCTGGAACGGGAAGGAGGGCCGGCGCGGGCTGGAGCAGTGTCCCCGGAGGCCACCGCTGCGACCCGACCGCCGATCGGCCGTTAGTCCGGGTCCGCTCCCGCGGGGGGGCCCGGCGCTAGGAGCCACGCCCACCGAGCGCCGCCGCAGCCAAAGACTCTGGAGCACCTGGGCGGGGAGCAGGCTGTGGTCCGAGCGTACGCGCCCTCGAATTACTCCCAGAGAAGGCCGGCCCGTGCAGCCAGTGGGCGAGGAGGGGTCTGAGAAGCGAGAAGAACGGAGTGGAAGTGCACTCCATGTTTATAATCTTTGGTCCCGGGAAACCTAAGGGCTCCTTAAGGAGCCCTTACAAAAATAACTTCTCGAAGCGCCACTCTTCTTTAGCTCTAACAGTAACCAACCTCGTTTATATTAAAAACAAGAGCGCCAGGAGACGAGGAAACCTACTTCTTTCAAATCAGAGCCAGGAGATCTGCTTTAATTTGCTTTAAGTAGCTAAAAGCGTCCTTTGCCTCCGGACCCTACATGCCCGCGGTCCCGGGTGCCCGCGTCGGACGTTCGGGCTCCCGCCGGTTCGCGCGCCCCCTCCGGGGTCCCGGGAATCCAGACACCGTTCTGAGCGCCTTCCTACCTGCTGTAGGGCGTCCTCAGCAGCAGGGCCTGGCTGCCTGTGCAGCTGTCGGTAGGGGTGTGGCAGCCATAGACTGGGGGCGGCACAGAGTACTGCTGCTCGCCTGCGGAGAGCCGAGGAGAGCCCAGTGAGCGCGCCCCAAAGGCTCGGGGGGTGGGGGGAGGGTGCGAGGACGCGGGCAGGGTCTGGGACAGAGAGCATCCCCAGCCAGGCTCGGAGGCTAAGCTGGAGGCAACGGGCCTGGATGTCGGGGCGTGCCAAGAGAAGGCGTCCAGATCCTAAGGAGCTAATCTGCATCTCACTTCACATTCCCTTAGCAGTCACTTCCTAGTACACCGAAGAGACCTTCGAGACGTTCGTAGACTCGCTTGAGTAGAGCTGTCCCCAACATACTTGGGGTGGGGGCTAAACTCAATCTTTTCTTTTAAATTAGGTGAGACTGGGCTGATAATTTCTAACAATCCCTTCTCTCACAATTTGCGGTGGGTTGGAAATTCCGGGGACGGGGAATTTGGCACGAAAGAAGGGGAGAAGGACCCCACATCATTCCCTCCTGCTTACCCAGAGAGCCCTGCTGGCCCATGGGGTCCTCGTGCTTGAAAGAGTGGTTGGGGAACTGCGCTGCGTGGTGCGAGGGCGTGTGACCGTAGCTGGGCGTCCCGTCGAAGGTGACTGTACTGTATCCTGCGAGCAGAGCGGAGAGAGAAGCACAACGTCAGCGGGGGGATCCGGGTCGGTGGGTCTACCAAACCAGAACCCGCGGCGAGGAGCACGCGGCCTCCCCACCCCGAACTCGAAACCCCAGCGGAGGATTATGCCACCCAACCGGCCTCCAGAACTTTCGGCGGGAAGCCGGGCCCAAGCCCAAAGGTGTGACCTCGGGGCCGGGGGGCCGCCCTTTCCCAAGGAAAACCTTGACCTCCCCGCCGGTTCCCGATTCATGTACGCCCCTCATCTCCCACGGTGTTTGCCGCTCCTGAACCGAACCTCAGGCAAGTGAAGTATGAAGACCGCCAACCGCTCGCCAGAGAAAGTTCTTCACCTCCGAAGAGAAACACCGTGGCTCTTGCTAAGGGGTTAGCGCGGGCGAGCGAAATGAATCTGTTCCGCTGACCCCGCGCTGACTCGGAGCCGTAAATCAGGGCACCGCGCACCAACTTTCATTAATTACTTGGAGCCTGTTAACCGGCATGGGCCTTAGATGGGGAGAGTAGTTACTGAGTAATGTTATCTGAGGCTGTGCGACCCTACACGACGACACCCAAGGCCCTCAAGAAAGCTGGTGAAGGTTAAAAGAAGGGGCCCTTTCAGTTGGGCCCGCCGGCATCGGCCCGCTGCCCTCCTCCTTACCCTCTCGGACCCAACTCGCATCCAGTGCGTCCTTACTCTGACCACCACCGTGGGGTTCCTCGCGCCCCAGGTTGGGGAGCGTGCCTGTTTTAGAGTGTAGGTAACACCGTAGCTCCCTTTCCCTCCATGGCAGTGCACGGGTCCCCTGCCAGTTTCCCTACCGAGAAACCAACGGCGAGATGGACCGTGTTCTTCCCCAACTCTCCGAAGGCTGAGTAACAGAATGTGGTGTCTTGATTGAAAACCTTGGTTTCCTTCTGTGATTATTGTTATTAAATTGCTTTAAACATATACCCCACCAGCTTCTGGAAAACTGTTGCCACCTCTGGGGAAAAAGTATCCTCCAGCTACGATGAAGGTCAGTCCCGGGGCCCTGAAGGGAATGGTGGGATTCCCTCCTTTTATGCGCAGGCCCCAGCGTCTCCGGCCTGAGGTCCAGGCCAGGAGGCGAATGAGATCGGCTCGGACGCTCACAAAGGCTTCCCGCAGGGCCACGGTGCCGACCCATCCCCCACTCATTCTCCCAGCTCTCGCCCAGCCATTGCGCTGGATCTCCAAACTCCACTCAGTTTTTGGGAGTGGGATGGGTCAAACACCCCCACTCTTGCCCCAGGCATGACAGAGGCTCTGCAACAAGTGTCTGCAAAGACTTAGGATGGACAGAGGAAGGAGACCGTTACTCCATCTTTGAAACATAACCCCCCAAACAAACAAAAACGGAGCTTCTCCTGCCGGCTTCAGGCAGTGCGGTGTGTCCGAGTGGGAGAGAGGGTCGGGGCAGGTCGTAAATACCGGATCGTACCAGGCAGGCAAAATCTAACAGGTTGACAATTTAAGAAGCCACCAGCTTTTACAACTTGCATGATTCCAGAGTCCTACATCTCTCGCCTACTAAGTAGCTTGTCAGGCGTGGGTGAGCAGCTTGAGCTTCCTTTTGGGAGCGAAGGCACGGCCCTGTTTGAGGCCTACCTGTCAGCTTACAAACGAAATTTGGCTCTCAGTACCCAATTTTGCAGAGAGAAGGCCGAATTTTGAAAAAGATTTTTTAAAGAGAAGAAATAGAAACCACAAAGAAATTGTCTCTAGACGAACCCTTCTCCATTCCTGAGCAGAGGCGTAGGCAGTGGCCCGGAGCACGTGCTGTCCTTGGAGGCGGGCTCCGCAATTGTAGGGTTGCGGGCTGCAGCTCCCGAACCCGCCACGTCGCCTCCGCGCCCCGCGAGGCCCCCAAGGGCCCCTCCCGGGCAGGACACGCAGACCGGCGCGGGGGTGGGGGGCAGGGGCCAGCCTCCAACCCCTCCCTCACGACCGTCGGGAAGGGCCGTGTTGAAAGCGCCTGCGGAGGGGACAGAGGGCTCTTTTAATTAGAAGCTTATCGGACCCGGGACTGATTAGATCGCGCTGTGCTGGGGCCGCGAGCTGGGCCCGGCGCGGAGAGCGCGGGGGCGGGGGCCCAGGGAGGAACAGTTGCCGGCAAAAAGGGGCAGCGTGTTCAAAGGCTCCTTGTACAGGCCTTCGAGAGACAGGCTCTAAGCGTCCGAAGTAGCGCTTTTCCCACGGTTAGTCTCTGCCCGGGAAGGGAATGCAACCTTGACCGCGCGGAGAGGCGAGACACGCTCTGCGCCTCCCTCCTCCGCGCGCGGCAGCGGAGGAACCCGGGAACCGCCTGGCCGGGCCTGGCCTCCCAAAAGCTGGGGGGTAAAGTGGACAGCAGGCTCAGTCAAGGAGGGGGGCAGAAGGCTGAAAATGATGACTCCATTGCTGTGGCAGAATAAGGAAAAATCTGTCCCCCAACGAAATACCCTCTCCAACGTGACCCAAAGGGGGGCGCCCTTCGCCCTTGGGTAGAGCCGGTCTCTATACCTGACCCTAGGGTGGCCTGGTGATGCCAAGGCCGCCTCCTGCCCTAGGATTCAGAGCGCCCTCGGGGCTGGGGGAATCAGAGGCTGACAAGCAATCTTTTTTTTCCCCTCCTTAAATCCCGCATTAAGTCTGGGGCTACCCAAGTCCTCACCCCATTTCTGCCCTAACAAACCATCTAACCCTCACACACACACTACAGTCGGTTCAGTGCCCATCCAACAGGTCAAAGGAAATCTGTCTCAACAGAGGGGCCAAGATCCCTGGAAAAGGAGGTAGAAATAGCCTAGTATGGTCTGGGTTTGAGTCCCAGCTGTGCCACAGAGGGACCTGTTGCACACCTAATCTCTTAGAGCCTAGATTTTCTCATCCAGAAATAAGGAAATCCTCTAATGTCAGACTCCGTAACTCCAATGTGCAAAGATGCACACTGCCTTAATGCTCAATCTCCAGTGCCTTGCACAGAGTAGATGCTCAATAAATGCTGAATTAATGTTTAGAAGATTAGGACACCACCTATACTGTTTAAGAAATGGGAAAGGGAGGGAGATGGCATGATGCCTGGGGGTGCCAACTGTCCTCTCCTGTGGGCCAGGGTTAGGCTGCTTTGCCTAGGGACAGGGATTCAGAGTCTTTGATTCCTCTCTGCTGGAGCTTGTCCTGGGTCTGCTGATGGCCATTCTCATACTCTGGGGAAGGAGCTGATGCCCTTGCTTTCCCCAACACAAGCCTCCTGCCAGACCTTGCATTCCTGGGGGAGCCACAGGAACCCCAGAAATCAAGAGAATCAATCCAGAATCTCCAGGCCTCAGGGTTATCAAGGCCAGGGCTGAGGCTGGAGCAGCTTCTGACATCTCACCCCAGCTCCCCGCTGCCCAGTAAGTCCCAACAGCCAGGCAAGCATGACCCACTCACATTTTCAATGCAAGAAAAACCTAAACCCACAGACAGGAACTGCCTTACAGGTTGTGGCATGCATCTGGGGCCGACTCTCCACTGGGCTTTTCCCCGGGATAGGGAGGAGAACTCCTTCACCTGCTAGTCCTGGTCCCCAACTCCCAAGCCTTTTATCTCTTTGGCAACCACCTTCATGCTGAACTGAGGGGACCCCAGGCACTAGATCTGCCTATAGAAGAGACCCAAACAAAGTAAAATCCCCACAGAACCTAGATGGACTCAAATAAATGATAACAGCACAGTAGTACCTTGAGCCCCAGAAACAGACCAAATGGCTTCTCAGGCCCCTCCAAAGAGCACACATCCACACACAGATTCACTCACATCACACACCTGCCTGCCAGTCTTGCCCTTTCTGGTCCAGTCAATTTTAGGTGGTCTGCTGCCTTCTGAATTTAGAGCCCCAAGCCAGGGGAAAGTTGGGCTTCTGCTCCAGTGGCATAGAACGTCAGGCGGTGCCAGACCCTCAAGTTGCTCATCTCAGCTCTCCTCTTACAGATGGAGAAACTGAGACCTGGTGATTTGTAAAAGGTAACAACAGCCTGCTAATTAGAGGTGACACTATCAGAGAACGCAAGCCTCTGAATCGACAATGAGTTGTTCCAACATCCCTTGAGTGGGAAACACTAACTTCATTTAGGAAACACCTAGAATGGAGGGACCCCGGGTGCTGCTTGAGGTTCCTCCACAGAACACGGATCTCGGATTCCCTAAATGAAGAGGGAAGAGTGGTTTCGATTTCACTAGGGCTTCTGGTGAGCCAGGTGCTCCAGGCTGGTTTCAGCTAGGGACCACCTGAAGATACTCGTTTAGAAGGTGTTGGCATCGACCATGGACCAGCAGCATTGAGCTCTTCTGTGCCTTGGGAGCCCTGGCACCTCCTGCAAACGGTACACGCTCTGCTTCTCCCGCCCCAGCATCCCAGAAACATCCCAGTCCCTTAGGCCCGCATGAAATTTTGCTCCAGCAAAAGCATCCGCCATTGCGTTTGTAAGGCGTTTCCTAAAATATTGAATCAACCCGAATTGGTTTAGATTCTCAAAGAGCACAGAAGTCCAATTAGAGTAAAATTGGAAAACAAACTACAGGGGCCTGGCACGATTGGTTCGGCGCTAAGCCCTGATAAAGGTAAGTAGGCGTGCGGGCGCCAGAGCAGGAGAAGGACACTCCTGGCTGTGTCCCTCCATGTACACTGACTGAAGTAGGCAAACTGTTCTTGTTCTAACCCGAACCGGCCAAAAACCTTTCCTCAGCTGAGCCCCGAGTTTGCAAAAACCTATCCTCAGCGGAGCCCCGAGTTTAACGACAAGAAGTCACCAAGGCGCGCTGAAGGCAGGCCGATGCTTGGGCCTCGTTCCACGGCCTCTCGGAGGACCCGGTCCCACAGGGCTTGGAATGGGATGAACAGAGTTCTCTTCCAGCCCTGGAGCCCTCGCGGACGCCGCCTGAGCTGGAACCCAGAAGACATCCGCTATTATATACACTACCAGACGCGAACACCGACACGGTTCCAGGAAAGCCACTGTTTAGTTGCTAGCCCGTTCATTTACTCGTTCTTTGCTCATACGTCTCGGCGTCTAACGTGTGCCGTCACCGTAGTACAGGCTGGAGCGGCTCCTGACGTTTTGGCGCAGCGTAGGAACACGGGTTGCTCCCCCGGTGCTGGTCCCACAGTCTAAAAGCTAAAAAGGTCCAGTGCCTCCTAACAGTTCGGTGGGGCCTTGAGCTACAGAGCACCTTCCTGAGACAGAGCCAGACGCTGCACCAGTTCCCACTTCCCACTCCCACAGAGACTAGCAGTCCTGGAAGCTCCCGGGGTCCGAGGGGCCCCAGATGACCTCCCGGCTCATGCGAACCAGTCGGGCTCCCGGCTCTGCAGGATGTCAGGGGCCTCTGCCGGCACGTACTCCCTCCCTCTCCCGGGCCTCCTCTCCGCTAGCCGCTGCTTCCGCTACCCGCACAGTCCTTGGGCGGGGGGGGTGGGGGGGCGAGGGGGGCAGCCGGTTAAGAGCCGGGGTCAGGGAAGGGATAGGACAGGGGAATGCGAGAGCGCGGCCGCAGCCCCGGCGCCACCCCGCGTGTAGGGGGCGCTCCCCCGGCCGGCTTACCCTGGTTGCGAATAGCGGGCTGGCTCTCGAGGCAGCTGGGCAGGTAGGGCGGGTTGGGGAACATCCTGGCCTGGCCGGAGGACGGCTGGCTGGGCGGAGGAGGACCGAAGGGACCGTAGCGACAGGCTCCAGCTGTGCCGGTGAACTGGCCGGAGAAATGCACGGTGAAGGCGCTCAAGCACTGCTCCTCGTGCGGCTCCGCGCCGCCCCAGCTCGGCTCCTGTTTGATGAAGGAGTGAGGCGGCGGCGGCGGCGGGGGTGGCGGCGGAGCAGGCGGCGGCGCAGGACCGCCCAGCGAACCGTAAGCCGAGGCGCCCGGGGGTGCAAAATCCAGCACGGGCGCCCACTGCGCGGCGCCGCTCACGGGCAGGGCGCAGCCACCGCCGCCACCAAGCGAGGGTACCGCCGGCAGCAGCGCATTCAGGTCCCGCACGTCAGAGCCCATTTGCTGCGGCTCAGCCCCGGACGCCCCGCGGCTTCTTCGGCCTTGCAGACGCTCGGCGCTGGACTCGGCCGCACCTAATTTGGCCCAGAAGCCACCTGGGCCCCGGAGCCCCGGCTGCTCGGGCTGCTGAAGGTACCCAGACCCGGAGCGGAGCGAGTGAGAAGACGCCGACTCCGGGGCACACGTGGAAGCCGGCTCCTGCGGCAGGAGGAAGTCCAGGATCGCGGCAAGGAGGCGGCGGGGCCCCGGCTCCTGGGCTGCCGTCCCGGCTCTGGGTGGGTGGGTGAGTGAATGAGTGGGAGGGCGGGTGGGAAGGGGGGGAGCGGACAGACGGTCGGGTTGCGGAGAGCCCCCGGGTGTAGGCGCTGCCTTGAACTCCTTACCCCAGCTGCCTGGCTGCCCCCAGCTTCCCAAAGCTCAAATAAGAGGGGCCGGCGGCGGGGGAGGAGGAGGAGCCAGGAGCCTCGGCCGCTCCATTCACACCGCAGCCTAAGCCCAGCCAGGCAGCACGCGCGGCTCGGAGGGGGCGCCCTCGCCGCGGGGGTAGGGGGCGGGCCCGAGGGAGCGTACCTCTGGGAGACACCCTCCTCTCCTACCCGCCACGCGCTCTCAGCTGGTCTGCGGGACCCAGCCCACCCCCCGCCTCCCCTTCTCGGCCTTCGCAAGTGTGGGCGCCTCTGGGCCCTGGCGAGACTCTCCAGGTGAGCAGCGAATGTCCCCACATCCCTGTGTGATGGGGGGGCGGATGGGGTTGTTAAGCTGAGAGGGCGGGTTCAAGGGAGGGGCAGGTGAGCTCCACGAGGGCGGGAACTTCAGGAAAGCACTGAAAACTTTCCCGGGCTTCAAAGAGGAGAATTCCTTTGCTCTGAGCCCGAAAGTCCGGCTCTTGCTTCTAGAGCCGCCTGGCCGGACTGGTGGCCGTAATCTCAGGTTCACTGGGATGGGGGTGACACTTTATGGGTTCCAGGGGCCAGACTCAAGGTGAACGTGGGTGACCTGGGGGGCGCGGTGCATCAGCTGTGATAAACGGCGTATTTCGATCGTCTGGTAGTTGGTTACTTGATGAGGTTTGTGCCCAAACGAGGGCAGTTGTCGCCTGCCTAAAAATTGGTGTCAGCGGCACTTAATCTCCTTTTCTAGCGAGGGATATTTAACTCTTCTTCGGTGAAGCCGGGAAAACAGCGGCTAATTTGGGAGGGAAGGAAACCTTTAGGGGAACACCCAGAGCCTGCACACATTCCGACCGGAGAATCCTGGAGCCCAGGTTGGAGGGTGAGGGGTGGGGAGGAGGATTCGAAGTCCAAGCCCCCGGGGAGAAGTTTGGCTCCTGCAGCCAATCCCGCCGAGCTCGGCCTCCGCTCATGGTCGAGAATACCGTTCTGGATAAGCAGTGACTGATAAGGGGACGCAAACCAGTTAGGAGGACCACGAAGGAAAGCCCTCGGTGGCCCACGGTCCAGGGCAGTGTTCGCTCCATTGGGAGCTCGGAGCGCCAGGCTTCGCCACATCAGACTCCTCTCTCTACCTAGTCTCTCTTTGGGGGGCCCGCACCTCAGGGCAGGTGTTTGAGGTTTTGTTTTGTGTTTTGGTTCTTCCACAGTAGTCAGGATTTAGGGCGATGCGGATCCTAGGCAAGGAGAAGCGCTGGGAACCCGGGTTCTAATGCGTTTCGGGGCGCGTGGAAACGCCCAGGAGAGCCAGGGGGGCAGCGGCGGGCAGTGGCCGGTGGCCGCCAGGCCTCTTAGTCCAGGCTGGCCGCGGAAGGGCCCGCAGCTCTCCGCCAAGCCCTTGCGAAGCGACAACCATGGTAGTTGCAGTTGTACAAAGAAACGGAACGTTTGAAAAGCCTTGGCGTACTCTTCATTTTCTTGCGCTTTGGTTTTAGTTCATTTGCACTGAGTAAATGAAGTAGACCCGAGTTCCGGCTGCGAACCCGAGTCTTTGGCGGGCTCAGAACCTACACGCCAAATAAAATTCCCTCCTCTTGGGGTCGCTAGTCCTAGAGGCGCAGGAGACCGTGAGGGCAAAGGTCGGGAACACGCGCTAACCGCTCGTTCCCCCGGCCACCTACGAGATCCTGCACCGCTCTTTGCGCTACTTTGGTGCTTGGGTGTGCTTGTCTCCACTCAGAAGCTTTATCTTTTTTTTTTTTTTAAGAAATGAAAAGGTTCTGGAGGCCAGCTCCTTCTCCCCCGACACTCTGTGAGCTGCCCAATACGTTCCCAGAAGTGCAGTCTGGAAACTGGGGGCTGGGCTGGAGAGCTGGGGAGGGGAACGCGCATTGGGTCCTTCTGGTGCAGAAAGGCCGTGGGAGACGAAACTTCTCAGGCCAAGTTGCCCCTAGAACGCCGCAGACCCCTGTCTCACACCCACCACTTTTATTTCGACGTCGTAGGAGTTTTTCTTAACTAGGATTCACTCAAGCGCCACGAGGGATGGAGAGCCCTTTATGAAAAGTCAGGGATTTGTATTTGCCAACGAAAAGTTCGATATTGTTTCTCTTTTATTCTCCTTTGCAAAGTTTTTTTTGGGGGGGTCTTTGGAGGGAGGTGCCTTGAACGTGAGCTTTTGTGGTTTTGAATCCCAGATAGGGCAGAGGTGCTTAATTTTGCGCCTTTATGTTTAAAAAAAGTTTTTGTTAAGGGGCGGGGTGGGGTGGATTGAGAGGAAAGGGGGGCCGAGAAAATTTAAGACTCCTCTCCTCTCCTTTGTTGCCTGAGAATCCTAGAGGGAGGAAAGAGCAGTAGTGCGATCCCCGCTTCAGCCCTGGGGTGCCTCCCCGCTCCGACTTCGTAGTCCGAAACGGTGGGAGGAGTTCCCTGCAACCCGCGGGGCCGGGAAGTGAGTGCTGCGCCTCGGCAGATGCTCGAAGTCGGAAGGTCGCAGCCCAGAGGTCTCCGAATGCCGCCACCCATCCCCATCCCCGGAAGCCCAGGAGCGCCTAGCCCAACGCTGGGAAACCGGCACACTGAGGTCCCCCTTCTTCCCTCGGGTAACGTTCTCTGCGGGAGCTCGGCGGTTACCCAGGCAGACGCGCCCGCTACCCTGGCCTCGGCGCCCTGAGCCTGCCAGGCGGAGGGACAGAAAATCGGGTGGGGAGGAAGTCTGCCCGCCTCGGCAGGTGGGCGCTCGCCTGCCCCTCCGCAGCTCCAGGCCCAAGGAAATGAGGGCGGCCGAGACCTGGCTGCCCCTTCTCTCATTCACCCTTCCACTGCCGTCAGCGCTGAGACTTGTGGCACAGAGGATGTGGTCTGAATCACCGTTTGGCAGAGATGGAAATTGAACTCCCCGTCTACAGAGAAGGAAACTGAGGCCCAGGCAGAGGGAGGAAAGGCAGCTGTAGAGCTCAGTGGTTAAGAGGATGGAATTGGTGGTCAGAGAACAGAATCTCGGGTCCACCAGGTAACAGCTGTGTAACCCTAGAGGACTTCCATAGCCTCTCTGAGCCTCAGTTTCCTTACTAATCAGACAGGATAATGGAATACTAGCGTCCACTTCATGGGGTCGTGGGGAGTAGACCGGAGGATAGTGTTGGTTTATGCATTCAATAAACGTCACAACTGTCACTATTATTAAGGATACATAGCAAAATAGTGGCAAAGCCAAGCTGAAACCTTGGTCTCTGAATGTCTAGCTCGGGGCTTTACCCCCACTACCCTTCTGCCGCTGTAGAGCTAATGGAATGGGGTGTAAAGAAAAGAGGGAGAGAGAGACGTTAAAAACCCACGTGGCTCTGATACATTGGTAAAAGGCATCCTGGTCTGGAAGGTGCTTAATTATTGCGAGATCAAAAAATCGCCGCTGAGTGGTAGAGGGTACTGAGGACCTCTAACCGCCACCACCCCCCCCCCGCCCCTTTGACCCGGGCGCTGTCAACTGCATTTGACCAAGAGCCGAGCCCGGCCCTGCAGCCGCGGCCCCAGGGAGCAGCGCGTACTCCCAGGCTGCGCTCCGGGCGTCACCCCGCGGCCGCCGACAACTGAATAAACACTCCGAAGCGCTGCGATCTGTCAAGGGCTGGGGCCGAAGACGCAGAAGAGGAGTGGCTCCACCGCCAGCCGCCCAGGAGGAACCCGCGCTCGATTAGCACCTCGCGCAGGGGCTAGAGCCCGGAGCTCCACGCGCAGGACCAGCAGCCTAATCAGGACTCCTCCCCTCCCTGCCCATTCCAACTCTTGGGTATCTATCTGCTTACCCGAGCCTCTGGGCAGGCGCTTAGGCCGGTTTCCAGGCCCGTACTGGCAGTAGAAACCCCAGCTTCATTTCTTTAAATTAAAAAAAAAAAGTACGGGAGGGACTTTTGTTAGAGCGTACCCCTGTTTTGTCCCCCTACCCTGGCTTCCTCCGCTCATTTGAAAAATAACTCGATCTTTTTGAACAACCTCTCGTCTACAGTACAAACTCCGTTCTCTGGCCCAGTTTGGGGGATCAGGACCGGTGAGCACCGAAGCCTGGGCGCTGCAAAATTTTCCCCTCTGCCCCACTTGCAGTGCCTGGAACCGCCAGAGTTTACCCGTCTGTTCTGATGCCACCTTGAGATAGTCCCCAAGCTCCCAGAGAGTCCCCGTTGAAAGAATTCCGCAGCGCTGCCTCTATTATTATACCGTAAATCTTTTTAAATTCTGGAACTAATTATATAGAGGATATGTCTCAATTTGTTCTGCATTAATGCCACAGTGGGGATGGAGGCCGGGCCGTGGCCAGAGCAGATACGTAGGCCCATGAAATTGATGAACTGAGAGTTGCTCCCAGTCCTAAGCGCACCATCTGGAATTCCAGTCTGAGGTTACAATTAGAACTCCTGACCCCAGATTCAACTTTGCAAACAACAGGGGAAAAAATGGCGAAAAGAAAAAAAAAAACCAAGAGAAAAAAAAAAAAAACCCAACCTATATTCTGCACCTGTAAAAAAAAAAAAAAAAGAATCCCCACACAATCTTAAAATCTTTCCATCTTAGAAGATTCTTTCCAAGTATTCTTTTGTGTTTCTTTAACCTATAAAAGATAATGGAATATATTTTATAGACTGGATTTTATCTTACCCCTTTCCCTCTCCCGACTGCACTGTTTAATAGTTGTCAGTTTTTTCTCAGTGTTTTTTTTCTTAAGCATTGGATTATAATTATATGGGACCAAAATATTCCTTAGTAAATTAGCTTGCTAAATATTCTGTCATTTTGCGATTCTGCTTTTGAGAAAACGCTTAATTACAGAAATCTATCTGGATCTAGGAACGTCTTTTTGTCTGTTGCTCCAGCTTAACTGTAATCAGAGATTTTACTTGTAATTTTATTTGTGTTCTAAATTGGTTAGGCCAATTTCTTCCTTCTTTCTTTAGTAACACACTGCTTTATTTTCCTCTAGCTTTGACCCTCTGAAGAAAA